TGTTTAATTAATCGTATTAATCCCATGGGTTTTTCACCTTTCATATAGTGGAAGACAAAGAATTAAATATACTGTGGTTAATAAAATGTTACCTTGTATGTGCCCATGCCATTTTTTAATTAATTTGATGCTGTGTTTAAAAAGAAAAAAAAAAGACAAAGAAGAATGGACTATAATTAAAATTAAGTTAGGGTATCTTGATGGTAATAGCTTTAAGTAAAAAATTAAACTTAGTATTAAAGTTGTTCCATATGTCTAAAGAGAATTCACTGACCTCGTACAACAATTCCTGGACTTTTATTTAAACTAATGGCGGGGGGCATAAGATTTCATTCTTCAAAGCTTTCATTATATTTTTTCTTTGAATCTCGATGCAAAAGTGATTTGTTTAATTTAACCCCCTTTCTATGCCAAAAAAAAAAAAAAAGAAGCAAAAGTTTATTCCAACACAATGCTATGACTGAAATTAAATACTGAGTTACATTGATTTTCAAATATGAGATTCAAATATAGATTCGAAAAATACTACAATCGATTTATAAGAATTTGAACATCTGTTCTTTACCAAACTCCAATCATATCAGTTGATTAAATCCAACTGATAGCACAGAAAAATGTTGGTGATAATAAACAACTACTGCTATGGATAGATTCTTCTATATAAACAAATGGTTCGTTCAATTATCCGAATAGGGTTGGCCGCAATGTGATTACTGCAGCACAAGGCCAAGAACTGCCAAGTCATTGTCACGAAAATGAATGGTCACATGGATTCATCAACTTATTCTTTGTCCTTTTCTTATTCCCTGAATTAAGGGGTATATGAAATGTATGCTTCCTTGTTAAATAACGAGAGACTCTTCTAGGTCTCATAGATACCAATCGAGTTCTCTTTGGTCACTCTTCATGTTTTAAATCATTATTGCATCTTAACTTTAATCACGGAGAAGCAGATAACATAACCTCTTTAGTCTTTTTCCACTACAAGTAGCTAGGATGGTAATTAGAATGATAACACTTTTTGGCCATTTTGTTTTTGCCTTCTTGATTCCTACACTTTTTTACTAATTTTCTTGTGCATCCTCTGTTAGATTAGTCTTTTTACCTCTTTACTAGTATTCTCTTTCATCACTCTGGCTTAATTTTTGGGTAGTTAGATTAGTCACCAGCTCCATAATTCATGGGTTGGGTCCTTGCTCATTAAAGATAATGGTTTAGTTGGTGAATATTACGCATAAGGAATCTATTAAGCAGAGACAAAGAAAAAGGCTTTTTTATCTAATTGTGGAGCAGCAACAAAGTTATATGCAACTAATTGGAAAGAAAAGAACAATTCCTCCATAACCAATCCAAATGTTTTGCTTTTTTTACAAGAAAATAAATTGGGTACAATTAAGTGAATCCCCCCATATTCAAGGGTCACGTGACTACAATCCAACCTGAATCCTTTGTGCTCTTGTGAAGTTTTAACGGTATATATATGATAACATTACATTTCCTCCTTTATCTCATTCACATGCTCCACATATTTAGGCTTTGTCAAATAGATTTACTATATACTTTTCTGATTATAATATAAGAAAATGTTATGAAAAAAGAATGGATATTATTATTTTTATTTCATTTCGCTGTCAAATAGTTTTCAGCTCTCACATGAAGCAACATGCTTTTCTGCAATGACTTGCATTACATGTGGCTTGATCATGTGCTGCTATTCTCTTAAACATGCTGACCATTGTTAGTTATCTGATTATAAAATAAATTAAGAGGTAAATGGTCAATCTCTCTTCATGTTGGGGAACTAGCTATCAAAATTAAGATTGAACACGGAAGTTCATATGACCCTCCTGCTAATTATTCCACTTTTATTCTATTGCTACTCCTACGTGGCATTTGATGCATGTGACTATCTGACCGCGAGCAGCAACTAATGTAGACATGCAGTGATAGTGAGATATATATAAGGGTTTAACTTTTCTTATGTCGTAGGATTGTAGGAGATAAAAAAAGTAGAGAGAAGTTAAATGTGGGTCCCATATTTTATATTAAAAAAGAAAAGAAAAATTAATTGGCACGGAAAACGAATTTGTGTAGGAAAATGGGAGTATCTCATGTGGCATGAGAGTATTATTTCCCTATATATAATTACTCATCTATTGTTTTATATGATCCTGTTATGTGAAAGATTATAATTATTTTTTATATACAATTTTAATGAAGAAGTTCACAATATTGATGAAAAAATATTTAAAAAGATATTTTATAATATAATGGTAAGTCAAGTTACACTATTTTAAAATTTCAGTGTACATTATATAATTTTGACAGAATTGAAATTGGATTAGTCAATCTTTCTAAAAAAGAAAATAAATGTACCAAAATAATAATAATAATTCTTTAATAATAATAATTCTTTAATAATAATCCCTCAAGCATAATTTGCAAAAATCACAGTTTTTAACATTGTAAAGTGTAATGTTCTACTTACTTTTTCTAATTATATTTTGAAATAAAGTAAAGCTCATGATCTCAGTGAAAATGGTACTATTTTTGTAATACACGAGGCCCCTATTCCGAGCAAGCGAGGAATAGAATAGGGCCTCTACCGAACTACATATTAAATTTAGGGTTTAATAAGAGTTATGTTGTAGGAAAAGTGATTGTGTTATGTTATAGAGATTCGTTTTGCGTGCCAGAGTTTTTTTTTTTTTTTTTTTTTTGGTTTCAAAAATTGTGGGTCCCACAAAATATTATGTGTGTAGGAAAATTGTTGTGGTCATGTTAAATTATAGATACAAAACCCTTAAACTTATTAGCTTTTAATATAAAGAGTAAAAAGAATAAAAATTAAATAATATTGTACATTAACGTGTTATCGTATGAAACAAAAAGATACCATATTAATAAGAATCTCAAAATAAAGAAACAAATTATGAAATACAAGAAAAATAGAAAGTTAATCTTAAAAGATCCTTTATAATAATACTTTAAATTATTTTAAGATTTAATTTTAATATCTTGTGAATGTTCTTATATTTTTTAACCTAATTCAATCCCATATATATATATATATATAGGGTCAGGATCATTTTACACCAGTGTAAGTTACACTCTCAATCTTATTTGTTGATTCCATTTTTATCTAATGGTTCAAATTTTTTAGTAATGTGAGCCATTAGATGCAAGTAGTTCAATGATTAAGATTGAGTGTAAGACTTCTAATTCTTACACCGGTGTAAGAATATCCTGCCCCATATATATATATATATATATATATATATATATATATATATATATATATATATATATACACACACTCATTATTTTATGTTTAAATTAAGGGAAAAAAATGTGTCATTTTAAATGACACATTTTGTGTCCTTTCACTTTCATAAAGAGATGAGATCCACACCTTTTTCACTCTACCTCTCTCTGCCATGATCTATTTCTTTCTCTCACTTCAAAATTAAAATGATACAACTTTATGTCTTTTAAAATAATACACATTTTTTCTTTAAATTAAACTTAAAATTAGTGATCTGTCTCGAGAAATATCCAACAAGTAATGTTTACTAAAAGAGTTTCACTCAAATCGACATATATTATATGGAAAAAGTGTGTGTCCTTTATACTTATATCATTTTAAGAGAGACAAAAGAATAAAACATGGGGAGAGAGAATGGAGGGAAAAGTTTTTAATTTAAAAATACATTACTTTGATCTAAAAGGACTATCCAGAGGACGTGCATCTCTTCTCGAAGAAGGGATTAGTCTTATCCTTTCTCCGGAAACGAAGCTCAATGTAGCCACTGCTCCAATGAGGAGGGTAGCCTTCGGCCGTACTCCAAGGACAAGGTGATCGAAGGAGGTTGAATGAGGATACCCTATAGGTTATACAAAATAAAAGACTATCTTTTTGAATGATACACATTTTTTTCCATATTATATTCAATAATTTTTTTGATCTATTTTTATATTATGTTAAAAACATAGTTATTAGCATCTTGCGATACACGATACGATTCACAAGCTCAGCGATACGTATCGCGTAGGACTGGAGGTGTATCAGGAAGGGATTGTATCAAACGATATGATATTGTATCTTACTATATGATACAATACGTATATCATACGATATATAAATTAAATCAAAATATGTAATTTTTATTCTAAAAAAAATAAATAAAGATTTGATTTGCGATTTAATTTAAAAAAAAATCTTTAAAGATATTTTTTGAAAGAGGATGATGGATTAATTACGCTACTGATAGATGTTGATAGTGATAGTAGTAATAATATTAGTCTTAATTCTTAATGATTGATGAGTAAGAGAATGAGTGATTTTCACTCTAAAATAACTTTATTTTTTTTTATTGGATCTTTTTTGGAATTTGGATTTATATGATATTAATTATATTATATATTTTTATATTATTTTTTAGAGGAATGCTATTTTTACAATCAAAAAGTTTTATAATCTCTTACAACATATTTTTCACCATAAATTTTTGCCAACCATTATAATTTATTGGAAATTAATAATTAATAATAAATTTTACCCAAAAAATCATAATCATTGAATTGACGGAAATCAACAGTGAAAAATAAGTTGAAGAGATTGTAAAACTTTTAGATTTCAAGTATAACGCTCATCTATTTTTTATATTATATTTTTGTATCTTATGATTCAATAAGATGGATACCAAAAACCAATCAAACGATACACGATTCATATTACGATTTAATAATGTTGGTTAAAATTTTTATTTTCCATTTATAAAGAAAATAAAATAAAATAAAAAAATATTAATCCAATACGCATCCATGCCATGCGCTCGGCACAGCTTGTTCTGAAATGATATAAAATCCCAACGATAACCAAACTCCTTTTACGACGCCAAGCAACTCTGAACTCTTCCAAACTCTGCCGCCAAAATCACTCTCAACGCTGCAACGCACTGTTTCGGCGGCTACTGCATCTTCCACCTATTCTCGAATGCCGAGTCACTGACTCACCCAAAAAAACCGCAATGTCACTTCCCTCTTCCAGGCGCCATTCACTCAGTAACTCGCCCCAATCCGCCGGGTCGACTCAGGATCTCCGGCAGCGAGTCATCACCTGCCTCAACAAACTCTCCGACCGTGACACTCTTTCCGTCGCCGCCGCGGAGCTCGAGTCCATCGCGCGAACCCTAAGCCAGGACTCCTTCTCCCCTTTCCTCTCCTGCATTCACAACACCGATTCCTCTTCCAAATCGCCTGTTCGTAAACAATGCGTTCACCTGTTGAACCTTCTCTCGCGCTTCCACGGCGACGCCCTCTCTCCTTTTGTTTCTAAGATGATTGCCACAGTCCTCCGCCGCCTGCGCGACCCCGACTCCGCTGTCCGATCCGCCTGTGTAGACGCCGTCGCCGCCATGTCGTCGCGGATAACCCGGCCGCCGTTCTCCGCCGCGTTCATGAGGCCGCTCATGGACTGCCTGACGCAGGAGCAGGACGCCAACTCGCAGATCGGTGCTGCACTGTGCCTTGCGGCGGCGATCGAGGCGGCGCCGGACCCGGACGTGGAGTCTATCCGGAGGAGCGCGCTTCCGAGGCTGGGGAAACTAGTGAAGAGCGACGCGTGCAAGTCTAAGGCGGCATTGCTGGTGCTGATCGGGAGCGTGGTCGGCGTCGGCGGCGCGTCGAGCAGCGGAGCGGTGAACTGGTTGGTTCCGTGCCTCGTTGAGTTCCTGAGTAGTGATGATTGGACGGTGAGAAAAGCTTCGGCGGAAACGCTGGGGAAGGTGGCTTTAATGGGGAAAGATTTGACGTCGCAGCATAAGGTTCTGTGCTTGGATGCATTGCAGAATCGCAGGTTCGATAAGGTAAATTGAACTTCTTCTTTTGAATAGTTGGTTGTTTCTTGTTAGATTATCTACTTCGGAAGATAGTGAAATTGAAAAGAAGAAAAACAAAATTGAAAATGACAATGCTGAATACTGATATGATAGAAGTGGTACTGTTGTTACAGGTCAAAGTAGTTCGGGAGACTATGAATGGTGCGTTAGAGAAGTGGAAGGAGGTAACTGATGTATCTGAGGATGTTCCTACTCCGGCTACGTCCGTACGTGCTTCAGTTGGTAAGGCTTTTTTTTTTCTTTTTTCTTTTTTCAAATTGTCTTTAAGTTTGGAAGTTACATTGCAAACAGTGATATTTGTAATTCATTAGTAGTGCTTCATGAAGATTTGGTCTGGTAAACTAATGCATCCTTTTGCTGATGTGAATCTTCATGTTGGATTCTGTTAGTTTCAGTTTGGCTGAACTGAGTTCAAGAGTATGAATGATATGGGAGTTATTATAGTTGTCAGTCAGTTTGATATCCCCTTAAAGTTGGTGGTGAAAAATTTAGGGATGGGTTTTTCATAAAAATTTTGGTATAAAACTTATCCATGAATTTTTCACCTCGTTAAAAAACGAGGTGAACACCAAGCTGAGGGTAAATGGTAAACATTTAAGAATTTGAAGTTAAGATTCCATCTAATTGTTTCTATATTTTCTTTATATTTTAACCATTGAAGGAATGAAGCTCTCACAACTGCTGGTGAAGTAATCTCCTCATTTTTATGTTGTTGGCTTTTTCTCATAGGCCCAGATGATGGTAAAGGTCAGTTTGTCACTAAAAGTTCCCCCAATGTTGGCTCTAAATCTACTCAATCAAAGAAAACAGTCCCTGCCAATAGGTCCCCTCCATCTGCAGTTTCAGTTGTATCCTCAATCAAAAGAGAGAATCCTCTAAAGAGTAATGACAAGGATTCGAGAATGGGGACATTGCATCGGCAGGATCACGGGGAATTCTCAGAGGAGAAACTTGATACTCCAGTATCAAATTCCTGCCCCTCAAACATGTCTAGGGAAGATGGTATTAAAACATGTGATTTCAAAGTTTCTAAGCCAGCACCAGAACAAAATGGGATAAATTCAAGGGCTGAGATAAAGCGTGTTCTCTTTGGCAAGAATTCTGATGAGAAATTGCGGAGATTTGGTGGTTCGAAATCTCGGGTGGTTCCATGTTATGATGATGGCAATCTTGACCCTGATGTTACAGTCAACAATGTAAATGAAGTTTGTGAGAGCCCACAAGATGTTGAGGATTTGTCTTTGATCCGTGAACAACTTTTTCAAATTGAAAACCAGCAATCAAATCTGTTAGACCTTCTCCAGGTATATTATTGTGCCTTGATATACCTTTTACTCTGCTTTGGCTTAGTAAATAACCACATCCTTTTTAGCTTATATTCTTTTCCTTTGATTGGCTGAAATTCTATTATTGACTATAATCCCTTTTTGGTCTTTTGCTGTATCTGACTTTCATCCTCCCTTCTGAAACTTGTATAATGAATAAGGCATGGTTAATTATCTGGAGCTATGATTATGAATTGATTGGGAATGAAAAATTTCATCTCTTATTTTCTCTCCCAATGGGCCTTTACTATTGCCATGTATGTTCGTCCATCTTTATCTGTGTGGTCATCTCATGTAGTCCACTCTCACCTTTTCATTTCCCCCCTTTATTTGTGTGTTTGGATGAACGCTGTACTTCTACCACATGATTAGAATTTGGAAGTACCTTCTTCCTTGTATTTAAGCCGTCCTTAGTAGTAGTAAATAGTAATACCCAATGGCCTTTCTTAAAAGCTTACCTGACTCGTAAAATCGAGGAATTATATATATTTCTGACTCATGTCCTCGTCTTTATTCGAATATAGAGATTTATCGGAAGCTCCCAAAGCGGGCTGAATTCTTTGGAGACACGTGTACATGGCCTAGAGGTGGCCCTGGATGAAATATCATATGATTTGGCAGTATCAAGTGGCAGGATTTCCAATACTGATGCCACAGAAGACACGTGTTGCAAGCTACCTGGTACTGATTTTTTGAGTTCTAAATTCTGGAAGAAGACAGAAGGTCGGTATTCCCAATCAAGGTTCTCTTTAGGAAGCATAGCGTCTACAAATGCTGTGCATAATGCAACTGATAAAGATGGAAGCAAAGAAATATTATCTGCAAAGAACAAAAGATTTCAGCATGGTAGGGGTGGATTTTTTATGAACCCATTGGCAGAAGTTCAAAGCGATTTCAAGGGGCATTTTGGGCAACATTCATACATAAGGCCTGAAAACATGGTTCAAGACACTGATAGAGCACAAAGTAACAATGCCAGCAGATTTGTTGGCATTTTACCAACTAGTGAGGCACTGAGGAACCGGAATATCAGGTAACTATATTTGTGATTTTAATTGTTGTTATCTTAAAACACTATTGTACACAATTATAATATTTTGTTGCTCCTTTTGTTTCAATTTTGTAATTGAATTATGTGTGGGCTGTGGCTTGTTGACTTTGGTGCAAGTCATTATAAGTACCAAGTGGGAACTGGTAAATCATTCGTTCTGTAATTTCAAAATGGTAATCGTGGATTTGAAAAGTTACAGTTTGTATTGCTTTGGTAATTATTACATATACATCAACACTGATAAGCCAGCTATGTATAAGTTAGTTGCGGCCATTTTAGTTGGGCTCGTTAATGGTCTTTTTATGACACACTAGAAAGTCACCATCGTGGTTTTATTAGCCTAGTTTGTAATAGTATATGGGTAAACTGGGTTGTTTGTATTCATTTTTGTTTTGATAGTCATTGACCACTATCTGCATCCTTTTTCCATCCCCTCACTTGGCCAGAAGTTTGAAGTTCTGTTAATTGCATGTGTAAGAGATAACTTATGAATGGATTTATTTATTTATTTTTTCCTTGTAATTTATCAGGTCATCGGTGTAGTGAAGACAAAATGTCTCAATGGGTATTTTATTGCAGCAAGCATCATACTCACAGATCACTAATTTGTAGATGAACCACGAAAGTCAATCTTCCTACTTGTTGATCCAGGTTGCTGTGAAGGAGAGTTGTTAACTTGAAGCAATTATTGGTAAATTATTATTTAGAAAAGGCTATTTTCCACAAAATTGTCCATACTGAGGCAGAGTCAGCAGCGTGTGGATTTGGAAGTAATGCAGGGCGGAGTTTTCTTGATGTGTAGCTTAAATGAAGAAATGTGATACGGGCGTAGGTGTTTTTTTGATATTTATCATAATTATATTTGTCTTTGCTATCATCTGTAGAAAAAAAATTATGTTGTGCTGTTCAGAAGAATTCCGAGCCTTCATCTTAATTAAAGTAGAGAAAGGAGTGTGCGCATTAAAAACAATCATTTTAAATGGGAGTGGATAATTATTGCCACAAAATATTTGATGGAGCAAAGGGAGATGCAATTATGTAAATATTAGTTTATTTAATGCTTATATAATATATTGACATCTAGGGTGTCCATAACAATCTTTTTAGAATTATTTTTTTTTAATTTTTATTTTCGAGAACAGATATGGGTAGAAAATTTGTTTCGTAAAATTAGTTTATTTTTTTGTTCATGGGATGAATCGGTTTAATTTTTGTGCTGGGAAATAATTTTTTTTTTGTTTTGTTTTCGGACACAAAATGATAAACAAGTCTCTCTTAATCACTCTTTACCATCACTATCATCTCGACACGATCACCGCCACTATCGTCGTACCACTAGTGTCGTTATCACCACCGCTACTACCATGATGCCACAACCACCATCATCGCCACTATCACTATCACCGCTACCACTACTATCATTACTGTCACCGCCATCTCCACCAACCACTACCATATCGTCGCAGCTACTGCTATCACTATCGTCATCGCCACCACCATCATTAACAACGACACCAACCACCACTATCATCGTCGCAGTCACTGCCATCACCACTATCACCGCTACTACCACCACCATCACCGTCACCAATCACCACTGCCACCACCATCATTGTAGATACTGCCGTGAGCACCCCTACCGCCATCACTACTATTACCAACACCACACCATATTGAAAGGAAACTTATGATTCGGAAAAAAATTATACTTAATAGATTTTATTTTTTATTATATTATTTGTTGTGTTATTAAACACAATTCTCATTCTTGGAATAAAAATAGAATATGTTATCAAACATATTTTTTTTCTCAAAAATTGTTTCAAGATATAGAAATATAAAATAATTGTTTCTTTTCAGAAATAGTGTCATGGAATAAAATGGTTGTCTAACACACCTTTAGTCTAATTTGTAGGAGATGTTTGTTTGCGCAAGGGCTTATGAGTTCAAATATCTCGAATATCATTGGAATGAGTTCTCTCATGTAAAAAATTACTCATGTGGTCATGTTATTCGATTACAATCACTTATTAATGATGAAATAATAGAGAGAAGAGTGTATAATTTTAAATGAGTGATTATGATTAAATAACATAATTACATGATCACTTTTTTCCGTGTGAGAGAATTTAAATCTCCGACGTAAATTGAAACCTGTGATTTTTGTGTTTGTGCGTGTTTTTATCTTCATTTATCTCAGACACGGCGGACTGTCCATTTAACCTCGTTATTTACATACTTTTAAACTATGAAACACCGACACTTCAAAATTCCCGACGTGATCCGACAATTCCCGACACTCGTCGACACTCACCGACACTCCGACACTCCAATACTTGTTGCAAAAACTCAAAAAATGTTCAAAGGTTATATTGCGTCGCATTTTGAGTTCCAACTATTAGATTCGTTGGATCACGGTTACTATTTTATTGAGTTTAATATAAACATTTGGGATATCTTATGTTTCTTTGCAAATTGATGAGAATTATAAGTTTAGCTTGAATATTAAATACAATATATATTATATAAATTAAAAATATCATATAATATCAAACTGTGTTTTAGTATGTTGAAATTTAACATTTTTTTTCAAAATTAACGTATCGTATCTTATCGTGTCTCGTGTCTCGTGTCGGTACAACACATGAATGTCTTAAGCAGGGTGTTATGGGAAACGCAGCCGAAAATACATGAGGTTTAAGCACCTCGTGATTAAACTTGAGAAGATCTTAATCCCTGAAAATTACAGGGTTTTGGACTGTTAGTTCCCTATTAAAACAATGAAGAGAAGTCGTTTCTCCATCACTTCAAAATTTCCGTAACCGAAACGCAGAACTCGTGTTGGCACTGCTTGTTCTTTCATTTAGTAAAATCCTACTTATTTCTTGAATACTAAAGTCGAATGCAAATTACTAATTTAGTGCCATTACATATTATTATTTTTATAAATTAGTATTTCTTGTTATAAGAAATAATACTATATTTATATATATAAAAAAGTGTGTGAGGTTATTTTTTTTTATCTCTTATATACACTTTTATATTTGAGTTTGTTTTTTCTACTAGATAATTTATCTGCATTGAGCCCCAAACTATATCATTTTGAGGCAAAAATTAAGATATTTTTGTAATTATAATTTATTTCAAGGTTATAATAGTCTTTTTTATTAAAATTTTTTAATTTATCAACTCAAAATGACGTCGTTTTGAGAATAAATATAGATAACTAATCTATAATTATTGTAGAAACATTAAAGTCTTAATATATATAGACATATTCTATAATATTAAAAATATTATTATTATTTGTTAGAGTAAACACCCTTTTTAATCCCTGACAATATCTACAAAATTCTTTTTAGTCTCTGGCAATAAAAAATGATCAAATTGGTCCCTAACAGTATGTAAAAAGGGTCACGTTAGTTACAGAGGAGTTGACATAAGACTAACATGGCCCTTTTTTCATAATTTTAGGGATCAATTTGATCCTTTTTTATTGCCAATAACTAAAAAAAATTGCGTAAATATTACTAGGGACCAAAAAAGTTGTTTAGTCTATTTTTTATTTATCGGATCCAAAAGCAAAAAATTTATAAACTGAAGCGTGGTAAACCAAAAGGTGTACAAGAAAAGGTGGCGCATCCTAAGCCAAACACTTGGACCGATATTTCTAGATTAACTGGCAACAGGTCTGAGCCAGAAATTAAATATCGGGGATGTCATATTAAATATATGGAATATCATATTCAACCTATTTTTTTTATTACTTATATTATTTACTTATTTTTAATATTGTTAGATTGCAATTTTAATTTACTTTCATTCTTTGGATATTAAATATGAATAGATAAAGTAAATATGAAAAAAAGATAGACATAGTATCCTATGTCAAAATTAGAGCTGGCAAAACGGGTTCGGCTCGGTGGGCCGATCCGCCCAACCCGCTAAACGGGGTAGGGCGGGTTGAGTTTTTCAACCATCTCAAAAGCGGGGCGGAGAGGGGCGGGCTCATTTTTTGACAGGATGATGGCGGGCATAGACGAGTCGAGGCGAGTCAGTGTAAAATAGGCTCGGGTTGGTGGGCCATCTCGCCCAACCCGTCAAATGGAGCGGGGCGGGCTGACTCATTTTTTAGCATGTTGATGACAGGGTAGGGCGGGGTGCGGCGGGACGGTCCACCCACTTTGTCACCTCTACCCAAAATATACATAACACTAAAATTTCTAAGCTTATTTCCTTTTCTTTTAATTTATTTGGCAAATCTCATATGATAGCAAAGATGATTTCATTAATTTGTACAAAACTTTTCAATAACTAAAACAGTTATATGTTTTTTTTGGTAAACCCTATGTGAAAATTTGATTATTTTATGAGGGCCACAACTAAATATATAAAAGAAAATATGAAAATATTACAAAGTTGGGGAGATTATTATATATTTATTTCTCTCTTTCTGCGCCTCTAGATGGTGGAAAAATTTAATATGTTTCAGGTTCATTACTTATTCAATGGCTCTTCTTTATAAATAACAAATTTTGTTTTATTCCTATTCTTTCCTTTTTAGTTCTCTCTCAGTTCTTCTCCTTTTTCTATTTTGGGAAGAGATTATCATGCTCCATGCCCATAAAAAAATATCTCCCGTTGGCAATGTATTTGTCATTTCTATTATATATGCAAAACAAAAGCCAACTTCATTATTTATTGGTTTGGCTGTGATTTAACTGTGCTCTGGAATTAAATATTTTAGATATATATCTTTAATATTACATAACATATTAAGAAGTAAACTAACATAAAATCATATGAACTAAATTGCGTAAAATTTTAAATTAGCATAAAAAATTATATTATATAATTTTTAAAATAAAAAACTAATAATAGAGGTTAAACAATATTCATCCACCATATATTTCATGAAATAAAGCAAAATAAAAATAAAAATAAATATTTTATTGCTTAATGTTTCAAAAATTCACATTGGACAGTAAGTGAAACATATAAATATATCACATGCATAAAAGTTTAGAAGATACTATACTTATAGATTACATATATGATAGTGGGTTCTTACACCCTTGGATGTGTGTAAAGAGATATGAAATTATTAATGTAGTCTCACTAATGTCTTAAGATTTTAGGTTGAAGTCGCACTTCTCAGAGTCAACGTGACTAAGTGGTTATGAATGCGATCCTCACAGTCTTAATTCTATAAATAAAAAAATTAAATATTGTGAAGTTTCTTAGCACAGATAGACTTGCCCTAATGCATATATATCATCCACCTTTCAAGCTTAATGTGCTTTCATTTTAGTCTCACCCAACAACTTAAATTTGTGGATTAAATTGATTTTTTACATGATATTAGAGCTTCAGGGACCACAAGGTAACAAGTTTGGACATGTGTAATATCTACGTTTCAAAATCAAAGAGCTTTTGCGTGAGGGGTATCTTAAAGAATAATATAAATTTTTTAAAAGGCCTTCACCTAACAACTTAAGTTTTTGGATTAAAATAATTCTTTACATAGTATTAGAGTTGGAGTGACTAAGTTGCCACGAGTTCAATTTTCACTATTGTCCACTTTGTGTTAAAATTAAATAAACACAAGGAAAATCAAAAAATGGATCCGTACAACAAAAGATAGACAAAAATAAAATAAAATTGGGTTAGCGCAATTCTGAATTAATTTCTGTTTTAAATCAATTCAAAGCGGTTCACCACTAATTGTGATTGATTTTATTACTTTTGGATCAGCTTGGTCAGTTTTTTGCTCAATCAATTTTGTGAGCTAAATGGAGTTGACACCTCACTAGTTTTTGGGTCAAATTGGCCAGTCTATGATTTTTTATCATTGATAAAAATCACTTGATACACACACACATATAGCGTACAGATTAATTTTATTATTTTGATCTTTTAAAGTTTAAGTCATATTTTAATTTCTCCAGTCCATACACCATTCACCTTCATTATATTGATGGTATATAAAATATTAAAATATAAACTTTCAT